CTTTCCTGATCCATACTATTGTCATTTTCCTCTACTTCTTTTGTATGTTTGTCACTCTCTTGTGACCTGCTATTTCCGGGGTGCCTTGATAGTCGAAGCAGACCTTGTGCTGTTGAAGCTAGAGAGGTGAGCAGTCTAAGTCTGATTCCCTGTAAAAACTTCTCTGTTGACACCCACACCTAGGCGCTCATTTGACCTTATTTGACCAGTTGCGAGCGCGTAAAACCCTCTACTATAAAAAAAAACCCCAAAACAAGACTTGCTCACCTGTACTGACGTGTCGGCCATGTGTTTGTCTTCCTCCAGAACGACCAAGAGAAAACAGACGTTCTACGACGGATCCTCGGAGGCCCACGTGGGCATCAGTCACGTCCCCATGAACGAACCGTTCTGTCCGCGGCTCCGACAGGTGAGAGCATCTGTTAAAAAACGTTTTTCTTTAAAAAAAAAAAATTGTAGGTAAGTGATTGTACGCCCCCCATCAGTACAATTTAAATCTTTTAAGGGGATGCAAAATCTCCTTTTTTTCCCCCGCCTTTTTCCGTTTTTTTCATCCATTGGAATTCCCTTGCAAAGGAAAGGGGAGAGGTAAGAGAGATGTTTTTGTTTGCTCATTGAAAAACTTACCAAGGTTCGTTTTAGGTGAGATGCGATGCTCCGCTCATTTTCAGTTGTTTTTTTCCAAAATCATTTGGCATCCCTGCATTTGCTTTCATCTCCACTTTCTGCCCCTACCCCCTCACCTCCTTTGCCCCCTCCTCTAGGCTCCTGACTCTTTCTGCAGCCTTTCTACTGCTTCTCCTTGGCTCCTTATTGCCGTCTTTCAGCCACATCTCTGATCTTCTGGTAGGAAAGCTCTGGTGTGGTTTTCTTCTTTTTCCTATCAAACATCTGTCATCCTTATCTCCCCTCCTTCTTTTTTGTGTTTGTTACTCTCTTGTAACACCTCTAATCTTTGGCACTTATATGACCTTATTGTGTTGCAAGTGCCGTAAAACTCTTCCTGAAACAAAAGCCACTCGATCATTTCTCCCCTGTCTCCTCGGCAGCTGATTGGCTCCTGCGTCTCCTCCTTGGGCTACTCCTTCCATGACCGAGGGACCATGGTCACCATCGAAGGTCCCAGATTTTCCACGCGGGCCGAGAGTCGCTTGTGGCGCCAGTGGAAGGCAGACGTCGTCAACATGAGTACCGTACCCGAGGTAGGAATAATATGGTCAATATGGGTACAGTACCCGAGGTAAAAATATGGGTACAGTTCCCGAGGTAAGAATATGTTCAATATGAGTACAGTGTTCAAGGTAAGAATATGTTCAATATGAGTACAGTGTTCAAGGTAAGAATATGTTCAATATGGGTACAGTGTTCAAGGTAAGAATATGTTCAATATGGGTACAGTGTTCAAGGTAAGAATATGTTCAATATGGGTACAGTACCTGAGGTAGGAATATGGTCAATATAGATACAGTA